TTAGTTATCCCATATGGATTGAATTACTTAATCATATGGAGACGGAGATGATTGGATTATCTTACTAATAAATTTTGTAAAATAAGATGAGATCATTTTTGTTATGTATGCACCAAAATAAGATAAGATAAAGAACATTTACGAATTAAATTATTTTTGGTCCTATCCTATCCATAACCTTATACACCAAACGCAACCTTATTATTTATGGTTTTTCACTTGATATACATGTTAGATTGTCAATGTTAGTTGCCTGATTATCAACCTTATGCCTTTTGTCCTGCTTGCATTTCTTCAACAGCTATTGCATGCATTGAGAGTATGGACATTTAATTTTTTGCTCCTTGGAGCGATGTTCTATTATAATTTGCGTACTTATATTCGTTTTGGAACTTTTTTCATAAGCAAGATTGTTTTCTTGAAGAAATTCTAATAAGATTTTGCTGATGGTTGTCCTGTACTTATAACATGAGGTTCAAACATGGCAGTTAACTGGCTTGATGCCAATGAAGTAGCTCAACTTTAACGTTATATTCTGAATTGATTCAATCTCACCATTGGACTTTTATTATTTAAATTATTAGTCTAGTTGTAATGGAAGCATTGGAATTGCCTTTGGAACCAATCTACAGGACATATTTTAGCTATGTGCCTTTAGACACATGACATCTGATGTTCCAGGTTGTCGATTGAAAAAGATTTTTATAAAAATTAAACAATAACAAACTATCTTTATATATGAAATTAAGTTAACAAACATCAATCTCTTTGTTCTCTCTCTCTCTCTCTCTCTCTCTCTACCCTTTGGCTGAAACACTAATACTGTTGACCATGCTCTTGTGAGTTGTGGCAACATCCTTCTCTGTCTCTGTCTCTCTCTAGGTAGATTTTTGTTGTTGACATTATAATGTTGTTTGGTATTTTTTTTAATTTTATATGGCAATGGATCTTGGTAGAAAGAGAACCAATACATGTGGTTGAGAGATTGCTTTATGTGTATTTTGGTTTTAGTAATCTATCTTTGGTAAGCCTCCTTAAGGTTCCAAGTATAAAAGTGATTGGTGTGCTAGATGAACTTACCACTTTTACTGTTGTCTTGGAAGAGAGATGGTTAGATAGATCAATCTTCCATGATAAGAGAGAGAGATTGCTAAGACTTGTTAAATTGCAGGGAAAGAGAGGCAGAGAGAGAGTAAAAGTAGAGAAGAAGAAGAAGGAACAAGAGAGCCGCCAATAGAAGTTGGTAGCAGTAAAGCAGTGGCACTGATTCCCTATAGTTTAATTTCTTTCCTTTCCCGCTTATTATGTTAAGAATTCTGTTTTAACTTTTGTTACTATGATACACTTGAGTTAAATATTTAATTATTTCCATCCCCTCCCAAGAAGGAAAAGGAAACATTCCTCCTAATGGTAATAGAACAACCTTGTTAGGACTGTTTGGTTAGTAAAAGTTCAACAGTGCATTGAATGAAATTAGTAAGAGATGACCCGATTGAGAATTTAGTAAAATGCCTAGTGGTTTGTTTTGGTATTACAACAAATTACCTTGCATAAACAAGAAATCAGGTACAAAGTCACAGTTTCTGGACTAGTTGGCTTGAGGTCTAATCTCAGGTGAAGCATGTATAACTATTGAAGTAAATAGCTAGCATTGCCACTCTTTTCTTTCATATTCAAAACGAGTCCCTATGCTCATGCTTGTTCTTTTAAAGTTAATCCGCTTACAAATTTAGTTTACTTTTATATATATTTCACTTTGGATCTCTTATCAAGGTCTTGTTTTCATTCTTCTTTTTAAGTCCTTTAACTAGGGTTAGTCTAATAATTGTTTATCCTTCTTCATTTTCTGTTGAATATATTCATCTTATTTCAGAAGAAAGTGAGGCACACAAACCATGGGAAAACTAAAAGCCAGAGGTCTGAGTTTCTCTTAATTTATGATCCCATCCAGTCTATTTGCTTTCATTATGTTTACCTCTTGATTTTGTGACTTTAAGTTTCAAAACTTCTTAATTGGATAGCTTGCATGGACAAGAAGCACAAGGAAATTCACCATTAATCCCTTTCTATCTTTCCTGAATGGTCTTGGAGTATTTGGTGCTGGTGTGCTTGGTGCACTCTATACTTTGGTTAAGAAGGAGAAGAAAGAAGAAAGCAACTTATGAAACCCTAGAATCAGTAAGTCATCACTTAACTTGAAAGTAAAATTTTGTTATGCAAGCTCATTCTTTCTAGATGGCTTTGAGCATGCAAGAAGAGTTGAAGAAGTTATGGAAATAATACAAATAAGGAAAAACCAGTTCCCTCCTTTTGGATACTCAATGCTTTTCAACTATATTATTGTCTCTTGGTCTCCCACTCCTCAAACGCCCCTCCCTCCCCTTACTGCCCTACCTCCTATCAAGTAGTCTCTCTTTCCAAAAGAGAAAGGAAAATTCGGAAAACAAAAAGAACAGAGATCAAAGAATGCTTTTGGTTTTTTCCCCTTAATGTGATGTTTGCAGTTCCAAATTATTTTATTCATCTTCCCTTACCAAATACCCATTTTTTTGGATTAGTTTACAATTATTCTTGCATGGATTGGAATATGCAGATTAAGATCAAATTGCAAGAAAAGGAAGCTGCAATATTTTCAATAGAGAAAGACTTTGAATCAAAGCTGCTAAATGAACGGGAAGAAAGAACCAAGCAACTCAAAGAGGCAAAGGAAGAACAGCTGTCTATAATGGATCAACTAAATTCAGCTAACAATACAATTACAGGAATAGGGCAGGAGCTTAAAAATGAGAAGAGGTTAATTGAGAAGCTTAAAGTTCAAATAGGCAGTCTTCAAAGCAACCTTTTGAAGGCTGGGAAACAGAAAAGATCTCTTGAACAAGTACTGAAGGAAAAGCTTGATTCAGTTGATATCCTACAAGAAAAAAATTAACTCGCTCAGTTCAGAACTTAATGATAAGGAAGGAACTTGAACACTACCTACAAGCAAACCAAGGAAGAACTGGGGGAAGCACATTCAGTGATTGAAGGATTGAAAGAAGAATTACTGAGAAATCAAAGTGAACTTGAATCCAAAAATTCTGCGGTGGATGAATTAAATGCAAGGATAAGCTCTTTAACAGTTGAAAGAGATAATTCTAAGCTGGAATTTGGTGCTCTTCAGGAGGATATCAATGATCTGAAACTGTCTTCTGAAAATAAGGCAGTGGCAGATGCTAAGCTTTTGGGGGAAAGAAAAAAATGAAATTCAGCTGCTAAAGGAAAAACTTGAGCTTGCTGTAAACGATGTCAATGAAAATAAAGCAATTGTTCCTGATTTGAACAAGGAGAGGGAACACCTGAAGAGAGCACTGGAGGTTGAATTGCACAGGGTAAAGAACCTGAAAGAAGAACTCCTACTTGCTGAGGAAACTCTTGCGAAGTCCAGGAGTGAGGCTTCTGATCTGTTGAAGCAACTGAAGCAATCAAGAGGTCAATGTAAAGAGCTTGAGTCTGAGGTTTCAAGGTTTAGGGCTGACTTTGATAAAGCTATATTAAGACTGCAGGGTAGTCTTGATGAGGCAAAACAGAGCAGCGAAGTTCTGGCCAGTGAGCACATAACTACTAAGCAACTTCTGAAGAAAACTGGCGAGGAGCTGTGGATATTTTCTCATGAGCTGACTTCTATGATGGAAAATCGTGATAGCCTTCAGAGGGAATTGGTAGATGTCTATAAAAAGGCAGAAACCATAGCCAATGATTTAAAGGAAGAGAAAAAGGTTGTTTCTTCCATAAACAAGGAACTACAGGCTCTAAAGAAGCAGATTGTGAAGGACAGGGAAGCAAGAAAATTACTAGAAACAGACCAGGAAGAGGCTACGAAGTCACTTTATGAGATGAACTGAAATATATTGAAACTTTCCAGAGATCTAGAAATGTATAATGCTAAATTATCTTTTCTTGAGGACGAGAAAATGGTGCTCCATAAAACACTCACAGAGGAGAAGAATGCATCTAAAGAAGCCCGAGAAAACATGGAAGATGCTCATAACCTTGTCATGGCACTCGGCAAGGAAAGGGAGAGTTTGGAAAAGCTAGTGAAGAAACTTGAGAAAGAATTGGCTTCTGCCAAGGTTGAAATATTATGGTTAAGGAGTCAAATAAATTCATCCAAAGTTCCTGTAAATGATCAGCATCAACAGAACGGTGAAACCGAAGCAAAAGTCACTGTCAGTGCAAGGAAAAGTAGCAGAAGGAGAAAAAGTTGTGAACTATCCTGAGTTCTAGTAATCTTCTCCTAAATTTTGTTCCGACAAAATTTTTCACAATACCATTGTATTATTACTGTATAAATCAGAGGCCAAGGTATGCAAAAAATTTTTTGGCCATTGTATTATTACGTTTGCATGTAAAGATCGTAATGATGAAATACTAACACAGGTTCTTAAGTTTTTTTTTTCCCAACAATGAAAACATTAACTTTTGCATGTTCGTTGGGAATTAAGGTGTTGTCTATTCTGCAGTTTATTGCTTGGATGCCAAATACTCTGTTTCCTGCTTAAGAACGCATGTAGCATGTGTGGTTTCAAATTCCCTTATTTTCAGGCTTAATATATATATATATATATATTTAAGAGAAAAATTCAACTGAGAGTTGAAAACAACATAGCTTATTTAGATTCTGAATCAATCTGCGTAAGGATTTGGTTTCATCCCTACTTCCCTTTGAGTAAGCCTTGTCAACTCTACAGCTCTGGGAAAATCATGAATTTGCCATTTTTAGGTTATCGCTCGAAAGGTGGAAATTCGGAATTTTTTTTCTCTCTGTAGGTGCAAAAGAACCGAAGATAAAAGCGGAGAGTCAATGAGGCAATTCAACGCTAGTAAATAGCATTTAGTAGATTCGACCACGGTGGGTGTCGAACCAACGACCTTTTATACGTATCAAACGCACTAATCCCTTGCTCTATGCGGTGACGTGAGAAAAGAGTTATTCATTTAAAATTTTGGATAAACTTCACTAACACACAAAATGGAATAAACGAGTTCCCTTTCATTTTTTTCTTTTGTTTTTAGTAAAAAGTTCGATCCCTCTCCAAAAATAGGTTCGACTTGAGGCTGGAGCCGCGGAAAAATAATAATTCTAGTGAGAAAAAATTTTAATATGTTTTTCAGAACTCGTTGAGGTTTACGGCTCCTAAACATCTCGCTTGTATCGATCCCGACTGTTTGTTTTCAATCTTCACCTTTTTTTTCTGAATCAATATCTCAATTATCTTTTTCTTATTTTGTTTGCTTCTTTCTGTTTGTAATTTACATCAAATAATAGCTGTTTTTTATTCTCAGATTCCCTCCATAAAAGGGCCTTCTAGATACGGATTTGTTTCACTCAGGACTCACTGATTTGCCAGATCCAAGTTCGCCCAATCTCTATTCTGGGTACACTAAAAAGTGAACCTCAAATTCAATTTTAGCATTGAATTTTCATTCTTCAAAAACTGGGTTTTCCTTTAACTTCGATAAACTCCGGCTGGGCAACCGATGGTTTTGCTCTGGTCCTCTTAATTTCATGAGAATTAGGGTTTCGAAGAAAATCATTCAAGGGAACTAGCTTTTTTGGGATCTGACGCTTGGGTATAAGGAAAATTTAGTATCCTTTTGAGGAATTGGTTTGGAAATTGTTTTTGGGGTTTTGCTAATCTGGGGGTATTGCAATTGTAGTCATGTTCTATGGTGCTGTGGTATGGGATCCTTGGCTTATTGTAGCCCAAATTGTTTGCCTTCAATGTTTATTCTACCTTACACTTGGAGTCTTCTTGTCATTTCTTGTTGGATCTCGCGTTTCTCGTATGAGTTTGGTCTATTTCTTTGACTTTGCTACTGTTACTACCTCTACCGTTACCGGCTGGTGTGTCATTGCTTCGTTTCTGCTCAGCTCTATTGCAGGGTGAGAATATAATTCCTATCTTGCTTTTTAGCTATGTTTCATTTGTATGCCTATCTGCGTCTGCTGGTGTGAACTTTTGAATGCATTTATAGAAAAAATGGATAGTTTCTATGTGTTGCTTTTTAGATGCACTAAATATTGGATTTGCTTGAATATAAACAATTGTTTTCTTAAAAGGATGATAGTGTTAAAACTAGGTCTTATTTTGCTCAATTAGGGCCTAATTTATTAATTAAAAAATCCGTATGTTTCCCACTGTTGCCTCACCAATGTTCCCTTTGCTGTGATACTCATCCTTGTAGCACCTTTCTGATGGTTATGATTGAACTAGAACATATTCCCATTTCTCTTATTTCATCCTTGATTATGGGTTGTAGGACGGGCTTGGATCAATGTGCAGATGGTACACTTGTGATGTTTGGTCGGTGTGATTTGTTTTATGATGTGTTTACTTTTCTGATACTAAAAACTAAGATTTAGAAAGCTCTGCACATGAATTTTGAAATTGAAATGTCGGAAGATTGAATCTTGAACTTGTTTAGGATATTAGTAGCTAAGCTTGAATGTTATTCACCTCCCTGCTCAAGTCATTGCATCTGGTATTTTACTGATTCAGTTGATGTTCTGTATGAGGAAGAGTTTATTTAGTTGTGTTAATGGCCAAAACTAGATATTGCTTAGTTTTAAACCGAGTGGTCTTTTATTTGTTCGTGTACATAAACTCCTGAAGTAAAATGTACTAAGAATTTTAGAGATGATAATACTAGGTTCTAAACTTAGCTCATTTCAACTTGCAATTTTGTTTGATTTGGATCCATGCAGAGCTGGGTACCTGCTTTATTTGATTGAAAGGGCAAAGAAGTGCTTAGATTTTTCAGCCACCCTCTATATTATCCATCTCTTTATATGCCTCATATATGGAGGTTGGCCTTCCTCAATAACATGGTGGGTTGTGAATGGTACTGGAGTTGCACTGATGGCTTTGCTAGGTGAATATCTATGCATTAGACGGGAACTGAGAGAGATTCCGATAACACGATATCGATCAAGTAAGAAATAATTACTATATATGTTAAAGTGATTTCTTAAGAAGTGTTAGCCAACATATATATGTGGTTGAGAAATGTTCTGTTGGATTGTATCAGTGAAACATTTGGAGCATTTCCAGAAAAAAATTTCCATTTAATGCCTATCCCGTAATTGTTAAATAAAGATCCAGTTCTTGTGTTAGTTAAATAAGAAAAAAAATAAATGTTACTGAACATGTAAAGTTAAACAGAAATGGTTCAGATACTTACCTTGTTTAGTCATTGACCCAAGACCTGTCTAGTTTTCTGGCTTGAACTTTAATATGCCAGAGTGTTTACATTTTTTTCCCTCTTCAGTTTACAATTCTTTTTTTTTTCCGTTGTCATGATACCATCCGAATTTTGAAACCATTTCATGCAGATGTTTGACTGACAAAGAATCAGGTGTGAAGAAATTTCCTGTGGGAATTAAATTCTTTGTTTTCCACTGCTTTGGAGGAGCTGAAAGATATAATTCTTTAGATACCAAATCTAATCGGCAATGAAAAAGAACTAGCTTAAGTTATGGAATCTATTTTTACTTCTACTGGAGATAATAGAGAAGTGTTTCTGAATATGATAGAGAGCAACAGTAAAACTTTGTGATAGCGATGCTTAAGTGATATGAAGCTGGAGCACATAACGCCAGGTATGACTTTGTGCCAGGGAGATCTATATATACAACTACAGGTGGCTTTGAGAAAGATGATACACTGCTTCTGATACTGTTTTCTGATTTTATCTGCATGGTTAGTTTTTAATTCTTTAATATGATTGCTTGGTTGAGTTTTTAGGTCTGCATATGATTTTTGAGAAATTTGGTGTTAATCTAAAACTTTGAGAGTATTTCATCCATAAATGTAAGCCTGAGTCATTCTAAAGTTTTGTGATTGATTAGCTGATTTGTTGGCCGCATGAGGTTGGCCGTTGAACCTTTAAATCCTGGTCCTCGATTAGGGAAACTCATCCTGATCAACACTTCAGAAAGGTGTAATGAAAGGGTTCAAGAGGAGTGAGGTCAAACTTTCCCAAGATAATGACAGAATTAAATTGGTAGTTAATAGGCAGGAGTAACTTAAAATTGAGATTCATGTCGGAAATGAATTAAAAAGGCAAGAGCCATCAGTTTGGTTTGGTAGAATGCAAGAGGCTTTAAAAACTCTTTTCTTGAACATAACTTTCATTTCTCCATCAAACAAAAGCATATGTTTAAATCGATTTGGGCTTCTCTCAAAATGAAAAGTGAAAACAAAGTTCTCTCATATCTATAGTACTACTCTTCGAAGACCCTGCCAAAGGTCTAAAAGTGATAGTCATCACTTGATTTCTGTCGTCTAGCTGGTTTCGCTATATTGTCATGGCTGAAGCTTCCATGAAGCTGAGATGTCTCCTACTGCTTCCCCCACTGTGAGATAGAATGCGTTCTTTCCAAAGGACTCTAAGATTTTGGACTGATGCAATTTCACCATCACACTTACCACAGGGTTTACCAACACAAGCTACATTGAAAGAAAACCGTATCAGCAAAGGGTTAACCTCAAGGTTCAAAAAGAATGTGCAGTCATGGTGACAATCATTACCTGGAGTGATCTTTTCTCTACCATTTTTCTCAGTTCGCATACCATGTCGATGCCACTTGTATCTATGGCTGTGACAGCTGAGAATATTGCAAGACTGTTAGCCAAATACAGTAGGAAATTCCTTTTCTGGATGGATGATCAAAGAGTTTTTGGAGTAAATTACCAGCCATGTCAATAATTATACATTTCAAAGTGCTTTCCTGGTTTGACTTAATCCATTCTTCCTCCTCTCGAATCCATCTTAATATCCTTTAACAAAGAAATTCTCAGTCTGTCAACCACTGCTCAAGAAGATGGTCTGCTATAATCTGCTATACTAATAAAACCATTCAGCCTAACTTATTTTATGGAAATCTATTGGATTGTTTATTGACCTATCGTTGATAAGATGAAGAGGCGGAGTTAATTTTTTGGTACATAAAAGTTTAGGGTGAGGGAATGCTTCCTTATTCCATGGTCACCGTAAGTCTCCGGAGGATGTCTCCGAAGGATTTATATTGGATTTATACATCGTTTACTAAAAGGGACGGGACTGTTGGGAGAGGGATTTGATCCTAAACTTTACAAGCGAAGTAACGGAATTACCTTTCTTGTAGATAAGTTGAATTTGCAAAGTAGATTGGAGATTCAATGGCCAGTATAAGAAACGAAGGGATCCTTGAAGCTTCTTTGTATCGGTTGAGGCTTTGGTATATCTGTGTTCTTGGAATATTCCCCAAGACCATAGTGTTTGGTCTGGTGACATGCAAGAGAATCTTGAATACAGAAACTCCAACCTGCATTTTCAGGCGAATTCATTAGATACCGACCAATAAAATTGTCAAATTTATTGCTCCTATTAACTGTTCAATACCAGGAGGAGAGGAGATGAGAGCAATCACTACAGAGTTAAATGCTTACTGCAATGGCAAGTCCCAGAGGAACAGAAATGAAAAGGACCCCAAAGAAGGAGCAAACGCAAGCCAAGAAATCGAGTTTGTCAACTTTCCACAATCTGTATGCTGCCTGATAATCAATAAGCCCTATCACTGCTGTTATGATGATGGCTGCTAAGATGACATTAGGGGTGTAGTAAAATAGTGGCATGAGAAACAGCAGAGTCACAAGCACTGCTGTGGCTAGTACAATGTTAGAAACTGCTGTTTGTGCTCCAGCATTGTAACTTACTGCTGATCTAGAAAATGATCCTGAAAGACATGTAGAAGAGAATAGTTTTTAGATGCAAAGTACCACTTTATTTTTATGAAGTTCTACGATGTCAAATGTGAAAGAGTCATCACCTGTTGTAACAAAACATGAAGTGCAAGAACCAGCCATGTTCATGAGACCGATAGCCATCATTTCTTTGTTTCCATCAACTTGGTAGTTCTTTAGAGAAGCAAATGTCCTTCCAACTGCAATTCCTTCCTACAAACCATTAAAAAAACTTGAACACTAGAAAGACTAAACTTAAAATCATACAGAAATTCGATATTGAGAATGAGGATGCACTTTCATATAAATCTACACACAATTTTTCTGATTTATTTATAGAAAGGATTTTAGCTTTCGAATAAGATATCGATGACAGTGCTGGTTCAGGAAAAGCTTACAGTGAGGGACAGGATCCCAGTGACAATGCCAGTCTTGATAGCTAATTCCAGATATTGGCCGTTAAAGTATAGCATGTTCGATGAAGGTGGATTCAAGCCTTTTTGCAAGTGGCCAATCTGTGAAAGTTAAAAGGAAAGACACAATTTAGATTTGATAGAATTTCGCTAAACATCTTCGATTACATAAAAGTAGAATATAGTATCACTTCTTACAATTGAGATTCCACCAGCTTTTGATTTAATGCAGAAGACAAAAAGCGTTGAGAGAATCACTGATGTTAATGGGGCGGCTGCTGAGACCCAGAAAAGCTTTGGTTTCCTCATGCTCTGCATCAAAATTTTCAAAGATCAAAATTTAAAGAACTAAGCTAGAATTTGGACATATCATTTTGTTGGTAAAATACAGGTACTTACGATATGCCTTGCTGTCAACGGAAACAAAAGGAAGCTGAATCCCATTACAATAGTTTGCCAGGACCACTGCAGATGAATTCAGCTGATATTACCATTGGAATATTTTGTTGAAAAGTGCACATTGCTTTCACTCGGATGAAGCAACTTACCTCTTTTCTGTGGTCAAATACAGAGGTCATAACAGGAATGAATTGCATCTTGCCTGTGAAATGAACAATTCCAAGCAACCCCTTCAGCTGCTGTAATGACACAATGACTGCCGCTCCAGCCATGTAACCAACAAGAGTTGCCTTGGACAGAAAGTCGATCACGAAGCCTAACCTGTAAAATCGTAAACCAGAATCAATTAAAATACTAATAGATAATGAAGTGGCTTTTGTCTATAGGCCAATATGTTCAGGAATTCTTCTGATATTCTGAAAATAGTGACAAAAGTTGTTTTCAGTAATCTAAAGGTTATTCCTATCAATTAATTCTCGAGGAAAATGAAAACCACATAAACTCTTCCACTTAACAATCAACTTTAAACACTTTGACTTTAGAACATTGAAAAATGATACCTCAACAGACCCAAAGATGCCTGAAATAAACCAGCAAAGAAGGTAGCAGTGAAGGCTAATTTAAGGTAGAGAATTGGCTCTTCAACAGGGGAAACACTTTCACTCAGCATTGTGCCCATGACTAAGGATGCAATGGACACTGGACCAACAGCAAGATGTCTAGAACTCCCCAGGACAGAATACATGAACGGGGGAACAAAGCTTGAATCTACATGAATTGATGGAAATTCATATTATTAAAAAAGTTCATTTATTTGCTTTTATCCATTATTGCATTCAATTAAGAGACAGATTAGTTTTGGTTCTGATACTAACATAATCCAACAATAGGTGGCAAATTTGCAAGCTTTGCATAACTGATTCCCTGCAGTCCAACAAAACAAAAATAGATTACCACAAAAGAAAAAGCAGTTTTTTCATTCTAAAAAAAATGAACATTAATTTGATCCAAAACATGATTTATGTCATTCAATGATCCAAAAATCATTACCATTAAATTCACGTGGACCGACTATTGAGAACAAAAATCATCTTTAGATAAGTTTAGAACCAACATAATTTTTTTATTTAGAGTATGACAAATAAAAACAAATTCATTTTGTTAGTAAAAACTGTAAAAACAAAAATCCAGTTTACATAAACCACACTTGTTCACTGATAAACCTTTTATAAGTTAGCCACTCTAATGATCCGAAAGAAAATGGAATAGATTCAGAAACTTGTCCACTGGTTTTCATTAGTAGACAACCCAATGAACAACCATGAGAAAAAGAAAAAAAGAGAGATGGTATTGTGGTTATGTGTTCATGATTACCTGTGGGATTGCAAGGCTGGCAATGGTAAGACCAGAGATGAGATCAGACTTAAAAAGACTGAGATTATATTCAGGAGCCCACTGGAATATTGGGAACAAAAACTGTAGTCCCAAAACCAGTTTCTTACACCATGTTTGCTTCTTGAATCTGAAGAGTGGATCATCAGGGAAAAATATGTCAGAAAGCCCGTGTTTTAGCTTCTGGAAAGTGGTTTTCTTTGGTGGCAGGCAAACTTTGTGTATCTCCATTGGCTCTGCTGCTGGCATTGGTATCTCTGTTGAAACCTTCAGACTTCTACTACTATGGCTAGAGAAATCTTCAACCCTGTTAGAGTTTACACCCATTTTTTCCCCTTTTGTTATAGCAAAGACTAGAAGAAAAATCCAACTTTTTTTATTTGGTGAAGAACAAAGTTGGCTTTGAATTTATAGAGGACAGAAGATGGAAGGGTATCTGTCAGATGGTAGTTATTGGGCAGTTGTCGGTATGTGTTTGAATGGGGCAATTTGTCTTTTTAACCATTTTCAGGTTAAAAAAAATTAAGGACTATTAGCACCCCAAAAACTCTCAATACACCTCACAAAATTAGTCAAATAAAAAATTATTTAAATACTTGTTAGTTAATTATTTTTTTTGTCATTTACATATTTTTTTTAGTAAGTTATTGAAAATGAATTTTTGAAAACTTTTTCGATGTATAAAAATTGTATTGTCGAAAACTTCTTAACCATACTAAAAATTTATTTTCAAAAAGTATTATAATTATTCGAAAATGCATTTATGAAAAGCATTGTAATTATTTGAAAATACATTTTTAAAAGTAATTTTTTACTTCAATTTTTTTGTTGTGATTTTCAAACGAGTTTATATTGATTTCTCCGGCGTATGTGATATTTAATTCTGACAATAAAAATTTCTAATATTTCGATCAAGTACTATCCGTTTAATAACATTCGAAACATTTATTAATTCTAACAAGCATACATTTGAAAAGAATCGTCAATTGTGAAAAGTGCTCATGCAAATGGCCGCTACACCATGTGCAATGAGACAGTCATGCTCCATATCAGTAAGTTATCAGTATGAATTTCTGAAAACTTCTTCAATGTACCAAAAATGCATTTTCAAAAATTTCTTAGCTATACCAAAAATTTATTTTCAAAAAGTATTACAATTATCCGAAAATGTATTTTCGAAAGTAATTTTTTACTTCAATTTCTTTATTGCAATTTTCAAACAGATCTGTAATGATTTCTTTAATGTATACAACGTTTAATTTCAATAGTAAAAATTTATAATCTTTTTATCAGGCACTATCCGTTTAATAACGATTCGAAATATTTATTAATTCTAACACGCATATATTTGAAGGAATTATCAATTATGAAGAGCACTCATGTAAAAGACTATTACACCATGTGCAATGAGGCTGTCATGCTCCATCGCACATAATGCAGTAGCCAATTTGTACAAGCACATTTTCACACATAATGATTCTTTTCAGATGCATGTCTATCAAAATTGCAAAATTGACGGATTTGTCAATCTGCTAATGATATAATGAGGTTAATTTTTGTATACTAAAAAGTTATTTGTTTTTATTGGTAGCCGAAAGTTATTGTATACAAAAAATCCATTTTTGAAAGTTTTTAAGAACTCCATAAATGAATGTCCAGAAACTATTGAAAATTTTAAGAAATACACTTTCAAAAATTCTCAAAGGATTTAGGAATTGGATTTTTGGAAAAAAATTCTGAAAATGAATTTTTAGTACATTGAAGAAGTTTTCAAACATCAATTTTTGGAAACCTTTAACGTATTTTGAAAATTCATTTTCAGAAGGCTAGAATTACCACTCCAAATCACATCTTTAAACTTAAAATCTTAAATCTTTGAAAACTAAATACAAAATCAAAAATAAAAAATAAAAAGAAAACAAACGATTTATATATGATTTTAAGCTATCTAATATCAAGATCAAAATTGAGACTTGATTTGAGGCTAAATTCGTACAAGGTTTAAGGTTTCGACGAAAAAGAAGAGAAGGGGGTTGAGATGTTTGGTTTTAAAGGAAATTAGTATTTTAGTTTGAAGTGTGAAGAGAAGAAGGGATGGTTGTTAATAATAGTGGGGTGTGAAGTGAGAAAATAGAGGTATAAATAGTCCTTCTCAAAAAAATTAAGAATTAATATCTTGCTAAAAATAAATAGTGAGATAATTTGGTATTAGTGAATAATAGCATTTTTATTATATATATTTTTGAAATTTTTAATATACACTTATACTTACTTTATTAAAAAGGAATCTGCAATTTTTAAATATTAATTTTAATATCATGCAAAGTAATCCAAAAGTTCGTCGTCAATTGTATCTTTTCTTTGCTTTTGTTTTGTTTTGTTTTTTTTTTTTTTTTGCACTTATAATACTTTAAAATGATTGTGGACAATATAGAAAAGAGTTGATTTGTTTTTTTTTCTTTGCTTCAGTTTTTTTAATAATTTGTTTTGGGGTTTATTTATTTTGAATTGTTTGAATGGCTTTTAGGGGTTTTTTTAAACTATTTTGTATTTTGCAGCAATGAGAGACCAGAACTTGGATGAGCCTTGGGCCACTGCTTTGATGGAAGATGTTTTTGCCAAAATATTTAGGCATGTGATAAGAAAATGTCAAAGATTTACATATTATATTAGTAGTAAATATGAATTATTTTTCTGAATTGGCTTGTCTAAATAGAAACAAAAAAAAAAAAAAAAAAAAGAGGCCATTGAAATAGAACATAGATTATTATCATGATCTTAATACAATTGGATAAGTATAATAAATATATCATTTTCCTTAATAAAATTGCTTTTAAAAGATATATCTATAAGAGGTAGCGTCTAACAAATTGCAAATACAAATTATAACATTTATAATTTTTTTTTATAAAAAATACATTTTAAAGTTTGCCCTCTTAAAAACATTGCTTTTTGGGGGGGTTATATTATCAAGATTTTATTGCAAAAGCTAGAAATTCTAGCAGTATATTTAACTTGTTGCTTGCCTTGTAGCATGTTGTTCCCTTTTGATATCCTAAACCATCTTCAAGTTAATTTCTTTTTGGGGGAAAAAAAAAAAAAGCAAAGAAAAGAGAAGTCATTTGTTCTCTTGATTTATGGTTTTCTCTTTGTTGAATATGATAGGAAATTAACTGTTACACTCATTAAATTTCACGTCCATTTGAAACGAGAGGAAGGTTTTAGGTAAAATTTTCATTTTTGATTGGCTTATTTGGCAAGTGATTTTGTATGAGTTGGAGATTATTCAATTAAATAGTATTTTTAGAATATTATGACAAATTTAAATGTTGTTGAAATTTTTGAATCTAAGTATAGAGTAACTGTTAAGTTTAATGATATTAAAGTCGATTCCAAAATTGAGGGTTTCAAATTCAACCTAAAAAACTAAAAATAATACTAAATATAACTATATCATATATATATATATATATATATTTGTGGTAAAGTTCTATTTATTAGGAAAGAGAGGACTATTTTATAAATATAATATGCAATTTACCTATTTAACTAAGTTTATAATTATAATAATGTCTAATATTAAATTGTTTTTTCCTTTCTAAATTGTTAATTTTAAACACATTATTAGAGATATTATTTGATATATTGTGAGTTTTTTTAACTCTATAAATAAAATATTCCTTGTGAATTTTTTTAGGAATCTTATGCTTCGGTATTCAAAAACTTACATTATGCTTCGGTATTCATATCTACTTTTTGTGTATAGTGTTTGAAGAAGACAATTAATTGGATATCCCTTTTATTCCATTTTATACAAGCAACTTTCGAGCATGAAGGCAGGCTTGACCCTTGACGTGGCTTGAGAGACATAAATATGATTGATTATGGCTTTTGTTATTGCATTTTTTTTCATTTTTGCGTGATTTTTTTATGTTCGAGTTTATATTTTTATTTTACTCTGCTCAAAATGTAAAGAGTAATATATATATACTAACATAGTAGCAAAAGTCTCCAAGAACCTAACTCTAAACAAAACCACAATTGGATATAGTGAAGTCCTGATTAGTGTATAGTGCTTTGCTAGAAGGAAACATCACAGAAAAGCAAATCAATCGAGCACATTTCAGTAAAAAAAAAAATGGTAACGAAACCCTTAAGCTTGTCTTACTTTTGGCTACAAACCAATTGGTTCCAATTTGACCAAACTCGACGCATTTGAAAATCAAATCAAATCGATTAGACAGACAATATAGACGAACTTGATTTTTTAGTGTTATATACTGAATATGATTTTTTTTTTTTTTGGTTCATTGCGCATCTTTTGTGTCATTTTTATTCATTTCCTGATCAGTGCTGCAAATAATTTTTGGGAGGATAATGTTTTATGAACATGACACTAAAGTAAAGCTGAGCCTCACATTGTGGAATGCAGAAGCTGAACTAAACAATCGCATAGAACTGAAGAAGTTGATGACCATAATTGAACCAATTTGGGTTCCACGTATTGCTTTATGGTAGTGAGGAAACAACGCAGAAAGCAACAGTATCTGTTCCTAATGATGTCAAAGAGGAGAGGAAGAATTTTGGCTGGTGAAACCAACATGTAAGGCTGAAGGATAAAACACATTTACGTAGCTGGTTGCCCAAGCAAATGTAGTCCTTTCTGTACTGCACAGAACTGACATGGTTCAAAGACTTGTGAGTTTGGATTATCCCTTTAATCAGCATAAGATAAGTGCTTAGATTTTGGAAATGAAAACATAGTTCCAACTTCCAATATGTTGTGAACGGCAATCAATGGATTGACAATAGCCAAAACAGTGCTGCAATAATGCTTTGTGCTTTCTTTGTTGGATTGAACTCACTCAATTAGAGCACCTTTCATCTATGAAAGAAAAAATATATATTTATAGCACCTGTTTTTTGACCAAAAGTCAGTTTAGATGTAGGCCTACCATCAGCAGAGATACAATACTGTTGCTTGCATGTCCTCTTGTTATAATATTAATAAATCTGGAAAAAAGAAACTTGGCATTTTATTTAAAATTTGAGAACTTAGCACAAATTGATAATTAGATTTGTACAAAAGCATGCCTGTCGAAATTCACGTTTGTTGATCATCGGGCCAAGAATCGCTGACAGTCAAAAGTTTATGCCCTATTGAACGATCAGTAATTCGTCTTCCCACAAAATAATATCATGAGCCAGTTGTCTTTCAAGGCAAAAGAAAAAATTTTTTTTTTTACTTTGGTTTGATTTATGCAAGATTGGGTAGATTCTTTTTTCTCATATGTTGTTATCTGTATAATAAAAAATAGAGAGGACAAAGACAGCTTCACCTTATGCGGCGAGAAGTAGAACGCTTTTGATTGCTGCCTATGAATGGGATTGTAAAGGCTGAGCAATTTCTTAAGCAATATATGTGTTCCCACAATTGATGAACCAGAATTAAGCGCAATATCTTTAACCAGAACTTTTTTTTTCTTTCTATCACTTTAGATAAAAGCCACCAACAACAATATTCTTTAGCAGTGTTGGCAGGATTTGATAGGGCACGACTGGTGTTCCGTTATTGGGAATCTGACTGGTTTTTATTGCAATTCTAGACCAGTTTCTAGGGTCATTATTTCAACAGCTAAAATGCTAGGAATTTTTTTTTTTTTTTTTTAACTTTTAAATGAGCAGTAGTAGCGGTATGCTTGTCCTTGCAGATAACATGTCCGTTTGGATAGACTGAAGTGAGGAAAAAAGCCTCAAGTTCAATTCCTATTTGCCCAGTTTTGTTCAATCTTTTAGAGCATAATGTCTGTTGTTCAATGGAACTATACCAGAGCAGCAGCAGTGGCGGATCCAAGTGAAAAGGTAGGGTATCCATGGAAAACAAGAAAATTAAAAAAATTAAAATTCAATGGACACCCCACAGTTTTTCCCTGAACATCCTTTCCATCTGTTAAAATTTTTTTGGTAATACTTCATATATATTATAAGTTGACATCTAAAAAAAAATCCTGAATCCGCCGTTTGTCCAGCAGTAAATAGAAGCATACAAGATTTTCCCACAGGATTAACCAAGTAGGCAAGTGGTATCTGCCCAGTTTCAAATTCCTGAAGCTTGACTGGCAATCGATTTACGAGCAGCCTAATGGTTGATAATTACCCAGAATACATTAAAAATAATAATAATAATACTCACTGGCTCCCCATAAATATTGCACCTTTGCATGATAGAAGAAAGCCTTAAATCCCATCTGGGCATGAAAAAAAGGCCTCATCGAGCTATTCGAAGTCCTATTGAATATCAAATGCTTTTAGACCAATCCGTTCTGAAGCAAACATACGTGGCTGAACAAACATCTCTGGTGGGATAGACAAGTGTTTGCAATTTACTTGTTTTAATCATAAACGCATCCCTAGATTGCAAGGAATAAAAAATGTGACAGGTAAGTACGCAATTGCTACCCCCACACGCTTGCTGCAGCCTGCAGGATGCCGTTTATGGGGAAATTGAATGGGAATTTCAAAGACTTTATTGTAGCTATTTGCCTGAAAAACATGCTTTCACTGTTTTGGAACAATGAGACCAAATCTGTCAGCATTTCAGTCCCTTCAAGGCTAGCAATGCCTGATCCAATTTTTTTTTTTTTGTCTATAGAAAGCAAAAAGTTTCAAAGACCTTCGGCAGGACATATTTGCGTAGAGGATATTGATGAGGAACTGTGAGGGGACAAGTTTATTCTTGGTATATTCCATTCTATCAGATCACTTTTACAATGTAGTTTCTGATCTACGATCATACGCTAATTGACTTACTTTCTTGCAAGTCAACAGCGGTGATCTATAGAGATATTTAAATATGAATCTGGCCGTTTTATTGCCATTAACATGCCTTAGTGGTGAGGGCACTAAAACCTTGATCTTGGTTTAAGGTTTAAACCACAGGTGTTATAGGTCTAGACTCTTTGACACAAGTCAGAATTCAAGGGTGAACCTTCCTGGTGCAGGGGCTATTTACAAAACTAATTCTAAACCAGTTGGAGTTGGCCTTGTTAATCCCATTTGTTCATCCTGTTCTGTTTAGGGCTGCATCTTGTTTGGCATATAACTCAGATTAATCAAAGGTTGCATGATCAGCATTGATTGCCACATCAGTATTTATTCTGATGGCGCTAGGGGTTAGGGAAACTTAATAGATGGAAATGAAGTTTAGGTATCAATTTAAAAACTTTTTAAGTACCACATTAGAAAATGGCAATAGTTCAGGGGCTATTTAGGCTATTAACCCTTCTTGAAATTGAAAATATCTTCTTGCTAGATGTTAATTTCTTAAGAAAGCACTCAAAAAGTCTATGTTTAGCATCTGAACGTATTCATTTTGACAGGAGGTGTAGGATAAAACATGATGCTACTTACCTAACTGCTATGAAGATTGTTAATGAGGCATCGATCGATCATAAGAGGCATAAAGCGGCATTGTCTTCCATTTTAGGATTGTTTATTCATCCACCATCTTCATTATGTTTTGGATTATGACTGCTCTGATCACAAACTGATCATATTCATTTCCACTCTTTGCCTTTTTTCAAAAAGATTAATTCTTATTAATGATGATGGTTCCAGGAATATACTTCCACATTGTTGAAATGACCTGCTTCTTAATCTATAGCAAAAGGGAGCATTCTCAAGCTGCCCAGCTAAGGGGTTTGCAAAAATATTTAACCACATTTGGTAGGGAATGAGAGAAGTGGAAATGTGCAAATATGCAAAATCGTTTGGTCCAACAAATAACTAGATTTTCTTTTTGTTTGGAGTACACACCCAAAAAAAAAAAAAAGAACTAGAGATTTATTTTGATGAAATTGATAAATGTCAATGTTTGTTTTGGACCAATCTCAAGTTTGGTTCCGTACAGTATTAATGTACAGATCATAAGTTCTCTTTCATAAGTACCGTTAATTTCTTTGCTTTATGCTTATATAGATTCATTTCAGCATCTGTCTACTTTGCTGTTCTTCCATTCTTCTTTGGAAGGGGAAAAAGTCTGTGGGAAATGAAGTAGATAATAAGAATGTTTTTCTTTCTCTTGCATTTGTTAATCTTTGCCAATTGCAAGGTTGGTCCTAAATATAGATATTTGTTTTATTTGAGGGGAACAAAATTCAAATTCAATTCTTTAAACATGTTTTATATGCATTTATCATTAAATCAAATATTCAATATATTTTTAATCTCACTATTTCCTTACCTATTTAATTTATCATATTACACATTGAAGTCCTTTTAAACTTATAATCTTCAAGAATCGGATCAGCATGCTTATTATATAATGAATATGCATGTCATATGAAATAATAGTGAGTTGCAGGATACCTGTCTTTTCTCTTTCTTATCTTTGGATCATCAATGTATAATTCTTACTGTACACCTATTATTTGAGCTAGGTCGAGTGGAGGAAGGAATACTTTATGGCCTTCTAATAAAATAATAAAATCCAATAAAAAATGCATAGCAAGGCCTGGTATTATCTATGATGGGCTTGGTTCTTGTAGGCTCAATATGGATTACATAAAACTGAAACCTAGTTTTGGTATTAATCATCCAGTCCATCATGATGGCTAGCTCAGATCCACAAACACAAAGCAAGAGCCCAAAGTAAGAATTATACAAGACTTCCTTTATTTCTCGTTGTTGAGTGTAAATGAAAAAAAAAAAAAAAATTAATAGTCTTTAAGGTAAATTTGATATTTTTAAATATAATATGATAATATAATATAAAAATGATATAATTTAAAACTAATAAAAATCATACATAAATTTAATAAAAAAATAAAAATATATATTTTATATTTAATAAAATGATACAAACTATAATATTATAATTTTTATATTTTATATATATATTTAATAAAATATAAAATAAATATGCAAATTATCAAATTTTCTTTAAAGCCTGAAGTATTAAATAAACTGTCGCAGGCTTTATGAAACGTATTATAGCAGCTCACCAATATATATATATATATATATATATATATATTTTTTTTTTTTTTTCTTTTTGTAAAAAAGAATTAGTATCTTTATAAGTAGAGGAGGGATGACGAGATAGAATCCACGTCTATATAATTTTTAATCGACCTCTTAATCACTAAGTTAAGAGGGAAAAGTCGAAAAATGAGTAGATGCAATGAAAGTCAAACTCTTCCCATCTTTTTCCAAAGGAAAATGAACAGAAAAATCACAATTAACTCCAAAGAGAAGGGAGAAAGTGAAACTGTTAAAGGCACGTAACCTTTCTTTATATTTTTCTTTTTCATTTTCTCGAATGAGCTTCCTCCGAAACAACTCCACCGTTTCTTTTAATCACATGGTCAAAACAATGAAGCAACCCCAAACTTAATATTGACCGTCGATTCCAACGCCCCCTAATGATCAACGGACCAGAGCACATCGAATGGCAGCATATAGGGACAACAGAAGAGTCTTTGGCAACGGAAGATTTGTAAGCCGAAGACATGATCGTTTTCCTTAACGGCAAAGCTTCCCATACTATATAAAGTGTTCCTGCCTCATCCATTTTACTCAACTCGATTCAGTTACAATAAATTTCAGTTCTGAAACATTTCCCTTTTGCTCTATCCAAAAGAAAAAAAAAAAAAAAGCGTTTTTTTCCTGCAAAACCAACTTCTTTGAAAATGGTGAGACATTCCTTGTCGTTTAGTTTTGTTATGTAAAGTTGAAAATTTCAGGCTTTATGCTTCTTCTTCTCCTATTAGCTTTATCTCTTGGCTTAGTTTTTACTATTAAGTTTGTTTTATCCTACACGAAGGAAAAATAATAAGTAAAAACAAGTATGTTAATTCAATTTAAAAATTCAATCATCTTATCATATGCACGAACATTTATGTCCGAAAAGATAGGCTGATATCACGACGAAGTGACGAAATTTTATACTATTTTTGGTTTATGACATTCTATGTATGTTTGAAATTAAATTTATCTGAAACATGTGTCTTAACTTTTACCGATAATCTTGTGTTTTTCCCCTTATTCGCATGACTATTTTGTGATGAAGCAGGCTTAGTCACTTCAATTTGAGGTATATATAATCTTCTTCTTCTTTTCTTTCTTTGTATGATCAACCTGTTTTACTAAGTTTGATGGAAAATAATCTTTGGAGCAAAAAGAATTTGATCAAACTTCAGAGAGAGTGAAGTGTGTGGATCTACATCCAACGAAACCATGGTAATTTAAACGTTTCTTTCAATCATTTGGTCTTATTGTATTTTCCCTTTCTCATCCTTCCAAGTTCCAAAATCCACTTCTTACTCTGTAGTCTGTATAATTTAAACATGTACCCATCACCAAAATCCATGAGGGACCATTGAGATTTTCAGGGTGCTAAAGCATTTTACATGACAAATTTCCCATGCAGGATTTTAGCCGCTTTATACTCAGGAAATGTCTGTATTTGGAACTACCAGTTACAGGTAAGGCATTGTAGTGTTATTCCTGACGGGAAAACTATAGATAACTAAAATGCCTTAAAAGAAAAAGATAAAAATGATGAACCTAAAGCTTAGATCAGTTGGTTCATATAGTCACCTTTATAGGTGGCATCTAGTAGGTTTGGAGTTCAAATTCTACCATCTGCAATCCCTTTCCATATCCCCAAGCTGCGGCCTCCTTTGTGAAAAAAAAAAAAGAAAAAAATGATGAAAAAGAACCACAACCTTATTAAGTTTCTGCTAGTACTATTACTAACTCAAATTTCCAATGCTACATCAGAAAGTAGAGAAGTCCTTCAAGGTCACTGAATCACCAGGTATAGAGATATAATTTCTGTTCTCCAATAAATATCCACATTTCTAGCGATTCTCTCTTGTTAGCTAGGAGAGTCTGTAACAGGCATGTATGTATATATTTGGTTGCAGTAAGGTCAGCAAAGTTCATAGTGCGCAAAAACTGGATTGTTATTGGGGCTGATGATGGATTGATTCGTGTATACAACTACGATGCAATAGAAATGATCAAAGAAATTGAGGCACATACAGATTTCATTGGGAGTCTGGCTGTTCATTCAACCTCTCCATATACGTTGTCAGCCTCGGATGACAAGCTTATAAAGCGGTGGGACTGGGAGAAGGATTGGATTTGCAGTAGGGTCTTTGAGGGCCATGAACATTATGTGATGCAAGTTGCATTCAATCCAAAAGATCCCAACACTTTTGCAAGTGCATCACTTGATGGCACCGTTAAGGTACCTGCAACCAGATTTCAACCAGTTGTTACAATGTTCAATTTTGTTTTTTTTTTTAATGCGCTGTTTACGCAATCTGGCAATGTCTCCAATTTTCAGATTTGGAATATGGATTCTGGTTCTCCGAATTTCACATTGGATGCACATTCGAAAGGGATTAATTGCATTGAATAATACTTCATGGCTGGTGATAAACCATTTTTAATCAGTGGTTCTGATGATTTCTCTGCTAATGTTTGCAACCAAGAACTCTTTCTCAATTGTGATTTCTGCATCTAGTCTAAAATTTCGAACACACGCCCTGATTGGTCATGTTTAAACAGGTTTGGGACTATGAAACCAAAAGTTGTGTCCAAACGCTAGAAGGCCATACACACAATGTGACTGCAATATGTGTCCATCCAGAACTTCCCATTATAATCACTTGTTCCGAGGATCGAACTGCTCGTGTATGGGACATAACAAATTACAGGTAGTTTTCATGTGCAGTTAATAACTTTTACATTCTAAGTTTCCCAAAATTAAGGATTTTGCACGAAAACTCATGATTTCTTCACTCCTACAGTCATATTGGTTGCATAATGCTGGATCTTTTATCATATTCTGTTCCGCTAGTTCACAGCTTCTAAAGTTGTTAATCAATCTAATGACTTACAGGCTTGAGAACACATTGGAATATGGTCTTGAAAGAGTATGGACTGTTGCTTACATGAAAGGATCTAACAAGTAAGTTTCCTGTCATTTGCTTCTCTCTCAAATAGTGGTGTTTGTTAATATAAAACGTCACTAAATTTATAGATTAGTGGCGTTTTGTGTAGTGAACATCGTTGTTTAAATATTTAGCAGTGTTTAAGCCATAAACGCCGCTAAGATTATTAAAACAAGGAAGCTGGCTGCGTTTGTTAGTAAAACGCTGCACAAAATTGCTACCAAATGCCCTTTTTCCCGGTAGCGTCAGAAGATCAAATTTCTCGGTAGATACTTGGTTTGCAGATCATATTGAGCATCATAGCCATCTTCATATATTCTCTTTACTTACAATGCTACTATTTTTCAGAGTTGTGTTTGGATGCGATAAAGGGACGATTGTAGTCAAAATTAGTAGCTCTCATGGCTCGGATTCTACCAATGTTTGACGCGAAGTACTGGCTTGTATTGTCTATCTTCAGCTTGAAGATGAAGAATTACAACATCTACTCCTATTAGTGTGTTTAACTAGGAATAAAGGCTTTTTTGGGCTTATCATATTTTAGTCTCTGCTTGTAGTGTAGTTCTATAAATTCCAAGGAAGAAATGTCGTGTTTATGTATTCATATATAATAATGCAATAAGATTGATGATCCAATGTGCAAATGCTGTTCATATACAAAAGAATCTCTTAGTTCTTGCTTTAAAGATTTTCTTCTTTTTAATGATTAAGAGTCTTTTAAGTTGAAACTGATTTATATGGAAAAGTCAATATCCTAATTTATATGTGGAGAAAAATTAAGAATAAAAACCCTGATAAATTTGGACATTGAACAATAACACGATATGAAAACCACAAAAAAGTTTATGAAAACCATATGGGTTCAAGTTTTGGCAAAAAAAACGTGTATGATTTGAAAAAATTTGAAAATTTTGTTTGATTAGACATATTAACACGAAAAGATAATTTTTGTGTTTTAAATATAATTGACACAAATAATCTTAATACAGATACTACAATTACCATATTTCATGCTTACAAGTGTTGTTACAACCCTCCAGAGGCTTGATTTACTTGTGGCGTAGTAGCGAAGCTCAACTAAAGGTTATCGCTTGCACAAATTAAGTTACCCATAATGAAGTAAGAATGGGTGATAGGGAAGTGCTTTATCCTTTTGCCTATGAACGGCCACACATGGCTGCTAAAAAATATGTTCTGACTACACATGATTAGGCATGCAAAACAGATTAATAAGAGTTGGGTTGTCTCGGTGGATTTTAATGATATTTGAACTTTTAGTGAACGTAAAGGAAGCTTGGGCGACTAAAATGACAATCATGAGTGTCCACTTATGATATAAGTAAAACACTGCTTAAAAATTTACAGATTTTATCAACATAAAAGATGCAAAGGAAAATTTTCTCTAAAATTTTCTTACTTTTTAGTTTTCAAAGTATCCAAAGAAATTTTAGAGATGTTCAAAGCAATTTTATTTTTTTTCAAATTTCATTTTTTTTCAATTTTTTGAGCATTCAGTTACTTGTAATCCATATAGAATAGGGCCACATGTTATGCAATTCTGTATTTCACGTTGGATTTTATAATCGTTTAAACCGTTGTGTAGGACAGCTAAATGAAGGAGCGAGAGCCAGAAAAGTAAGTTGTGATCCAACAATATTATGCATTTTATTTCTTTTTTTTTTAAATTACAAATTTACCCTTAATCCCAACTCCTATCTACTTAAATAGCCTAAAAAACCATTAGGCACCTAAATCGCTTCGAATCTGCAATGCCCAAGATATGAAACAGCATTCATAGCATACGAGCTTACACTCATTTCGCATATTATGATTTTTATGTAGATAGGTTTACAGCTCAAATTTCATATGGAGAGAGGAAAAAAAGAATCTCACGATCCAACCGAATGATCCAAGCCTTAAGGGGAAACCAAAATAGTACCTAAATTTTAAACAACATACAAATTCCTAGCTGAATTGGGTAGTCATCACTAATTCTCAAATTCTTTCTACATTCACGATTGCACAAGAAAAATTTTTAGGACAAAATGCCCGCCAAAGAATATGCTAAAACGTAAGACAAGCAACTAAAAATCATAATTTGAAAGCTAACTGAATACTTGTATATGCCCCCATGCCAAAATTCAATGTGCTTGAGAGATCCAAACCACCGGTAATGCGAGACAATCAGCCCTTATGTATATATATCACATCTTGCTAGCTTCTAGCTCAAAATCTGCTAGTTAAATAAAAAGTTACAATGGTAAATGATAAAGCAAACCACACTTTTGAGTAAATAATTACTTGTCTATTCTAGAGTAATCAAAACAAATCACAAGTATCTCTATTCTAAATGCAACTAAAAATGTGGAAAGAAAATTCTAATCCTGTTGAAGCATTCCATTTAGATTTATTTGAAAAAGAATAATTATGACATTAGAAATTCGGGAGAGACGAGAGATTCACCATGAAGGTCAAGATGTATGCACACCTTTAAAGGACCAATCTAATGAGAAAGAAAAGTGTACTTTGCCCTAATCCAAACTTGGGCATGTGCCAAGTGAATTCTAACCAGCATAACTAATAACATTCTCTCCTTTAAGAAATAATAATAACAACAACAACAACAACAACAATAATGGTTTCTCACCTTAAATATGTGCTAAATGGAAGCTCAAACTGAATGTCTTCATGAAACCTAGTGATCTGGTGTAAGAACTGCCAAAAAGGGAAAAATAATAAAAAGTAAGAATCCAGGCATGACAGAACAAAAAAACTGCCAAAAAAACCACATGGAAAAGAATTCAACTTTAGGACTCACATTAATGTTCTATGGTATACAGAATACAAAAAACACTATTAATTTGATGCTAGAATGCAATAAATTGATTGCACAAACACAAAGATGAGAATGGTTACAGGCACTATGAGGGATCAGAAGGCAATAGATGTGCATCATACTAATCAATATCAATAGGCATCAGATTAACTTGATCTTGCCCAAGTTCGGGAAACATTTGTCAAAACAAGAAAAAAGAGCTATTAGTGACGTCATAATTTACAAAAGTCATTCAGAAACCAAACATGTATCCAATTCCAAATAGTAAATGCGATAAAACAAGTCAGCGAAACTGTTTAGAATTTAACTGGCAGGAGTTTTACAATTAGTGGTTGTGATAAAATAAATCATAAATATGGACTCAGAGAAGCCTAAGGGAAAGGGTTAGAGACGGCATTTTAGAAACAATTAATCACCAGAGACAAAATTTCGATTTTCACACTGCCCCAACCAATTGCTTTTAGGCTGACGGGGTTCCTTTGTTATTCATACCCCACTCTTCTTCAGGCTCGTTAACATTAACAAGTACTGCACCATCATTAGAATCAGCATCCACAACAACAGCCTCCTCTTGGCTACCTTCTTCTCCATTCTGCTCCTCTGAATTCTGATCATGCCCATTTGGTTCTGCAGCCTGTGATGCCCAATATAACCAGAGTCCTTAACCACTCAAGCCATTACTACATTTAATATATTGCAGAAATAAAAGAAAAACAGATACATATGGATTATATACCTCATGATCAAGGTCACCATTTTCAAGAAGCTCCGCATCCTCCATTTGCATATTTCTGAAAGCCTCCACAAGTGTCATCTGTGATCTATCAGCATGGTTCAAATAGTCTGCTGCAGGAGGATAAACACCCCTGCAACCAATTGAAAGTTAATATTATATCAATGTGAGACAAAAAATAGGATGTGTCAACCACAAGGCTTAGCAACCAAAGCAAGTTGTACCAAAAAACTGAAAAGCAACCAAAAAAGGCCAAACAACCGGAATCTGAAAGTGATTTGCCCAAAGATATCACACAACAGCAGCAACAAGAAATAATAAAAAGGAATCCTGTTTAATAAAATTGCCTAGCAAAACGGAAACAAATAATACACGACAAAAATAACGGAAAGGAATGATGTTTGATACCTTGTTTCTTCCACTTTAGATTCAACAGAAAGAGCAAGTTGCCAATCCTCAAACAAGTTTGGATACTCTTCAGGATCAGCCAAAGATTCAGCAGCTTTTGGATTAACCTGCATGCAATGTAAAAATATAGTCAAATCATTTTGCAATCTATACCATTAACCAATATTAATAAGTAACATATGTAATAAAGTGCTAGGGCAGGTAGTTTTGAGTATGATTACAAAGAAACACGCAGGTCGAACAGATTCAAATAGCAAGGGTACAAAGAAATTAAACATCATGGCACTAAGAGTAGAAATAAAAAGATATTCAAAATGCTCCACAACCAATGACTTGTTAAATGAAAAAGATTCCCACCAAGATTCCAGCAGTACTTTACTGCTGCAATGTCTGAAAAAAAGATAAGATTGTTTTCCTTAGCTTTCAGATGTAAACCTCTACAAGCAGAAATTTTCAAACCAATATTTTCCAGCAAAACATAAAAAATGTTATATAATAATATTAAGCATCAACTTGAACTAAAAGGCAAGAAGTCAAGCTATAATAGTACACATCTGGGATAAAAAAGGGGAAAATAGATATTTTGACAATAGAATTCAGGACAATATTGAGACATACAATACTCATGCACGATAAGTTTATAAAGGTGGAATAGAGGGCAGATGAAGAAGAATAGTGCTTTATATTATTGATTATAGAAATGCAATATTCTGAATCTTGTATAACTATTCAGAAAATCAAACAAGTGGAACCAAAATGAACAAAGGGCTATGATACAGCTAACCCTGCTCATAAAGATCAAAGCAGGAAAAAACAAGCAACTGAGAGACAAGTAATGGCAACTAACCTTGTTGAGGTCTTTTCTCCAAATTGGTACTATCTCTGAAACCTTGCTTGGAAGATAAGATCGTGCCATCAGAGCAGCCTCTGATATCCGATTGCTGCAAAAGGAATACTTCAATAATATCCCTAACTTTAATGACATGAAGGGCAGTCTATTGTTTCAAGTCCTTAATAAGGAATTACCTTTCCACCAAAAGCTCGAGGCAATCCTCCAATTTACCCAACATGAATAAACAAAGGAAAGCAACATTGTTCTTCCCTTGCTCTTTGGAAAGGAATGCAAGTCTTGATATTCCTTCTGCATCTCCCAATGATGAATAAAGCAGCAATAAACCACTCAGGTCCATTGCATGCTTCATGCATTCCTCAGCCATTTCTAGCTGCAATCACAAGTTTAGCATAATCAGTAGAAATGATTAGAAAACAAGCAGAGAAGGCATTGTTGAAAACTAACAATTTATATGACGTGTTTGTCCATTGAGCAACATTAAAACAAACAGCTAGTGCATGTGGTAAAATTCAAAACTCCACCTCAGTAAACTGTACTGTGCAACACTGGCATTAAACAAGACACTAGGCAAAAAATAAAAATGTCTTCTTACATTTCATTTACCAGTTAAATAACTTACTAAGCCAAAAGCTCAGACAAATTGAGAAATAATTTATTAAAAGGCAAAGTTGTCTATTCCCACATCCTTTAAGAGAGACTTCATTCCGAGAGCAAGCACATTGAACATTTTCAAATCATGATTAGCAACCACATCATAACACCAATATAGAAGCGAGAGAAGCTACTAAGAAAGGTGACGGGAGAACCAAGGGAGAACCAAGAAGGACAATCATAACAGAGCAAAATGGCACTGAAACAAATTGGCAAATTAGAGAATACACAACACCTTTCCAGTGGACATAGCCAATTCTCCCAACTGCTTCCATTTAGACTCACTCTGAACTTCTGTGGCTATTTCCTATACAAAAGAGTAAGAATCTCTAGTGAGGATAGCAAGTTTGTTAAATGGCAAAAACAAAGCTTAATACAAAATGGAATGTATCACTCAAAGATTCGAACAAAGAAAAGATCTAAGAAGTAGTACTTCCATCCCCATACCAATTAAAGAACTTTCTTACCTTAGCAATCTCTAATTTACCAAGCTGTATGGCAAGCTCAAATCTGTAATCGGGGTCTGTAGCTACTTCTAGAGCATCCTCTATCTTACCTCGTGATTCCAGGAAACGAGCCACACTATCAATCATAGCAAACCATTAATAAAATCCAAGAAATTTTTCAATAATGACTAATTTAATAAGAGAAAATGAACATAATAAAATGTTAAAATAAAGAGTTTTCAAAGGAGGAGGAATAACCAAAGGTAAAGGGACCAGCCGTTTGGTAAGCTACTTATGGAGACAGATTAGATTTGCAATTCTTAGTTTCTCAACACAAGGAGATATGACAGAGATATTACCATAGATGAAAACAAAATTCCAACCACAAGGGGCATGAATATTCAGCACAAAATGACTAATCAAGAACCAAAAATTCAAATAAAGTAGGAATGAAGGAGAAGGAAAGGAAAGGAGAAGAAATGACTTCTAAATCTCCAAGCCAATTTCGAATAGTTGCAAGACTACTGGACAAATGACCAACAATATTCTTTATGAATGGAAGGAAAATATTTTAAGGCATATACATACCTATTATGGTGCTCTTTAGGAATTGAAGGTAAAATTTCATTGGCCCTTTCCAAATCTCCGCGCATCACAAGAGTCTTGTACTCAATCATGCTGAGAAGTAATGTGTATCCCATAACACTATACAATATGACACAAAAGAAGGCAAATAGACATTAATAATGCATTTTTAAAGCAAAAAAATAAGGTGCATTTTGACATAAAAATTAGCAATCACTAACTGACTTACTTAAACTCTTTGTCTATCAGATATACCCGACTTTGACTTGCAAGATATCCCAATAAGTACATAGGACGGTCCAAATGAAACATTGTGGTCACCTAAAATCATTAAATCATCAAAGTGAAACCATCAAAACTGACAAAAACCAATGCATAACCGTATGAAACACTTTCAAACCAAGGATAAGCAGAACACAAATACCTCTCCACCGACACAGTAATTAAGTCTCCATGAAGAGTTGTTGTAAATGAAACAGTCCCCAACCCAAATGCCAGTCCTGACACGTTCATTGGTCTCATGAAGAAGTTCAAATGCATCCTCAACTCCTTGTTCATCAACTGGTCTTCCACTATCTAAGTAAGATTGAACTACATCCCGCTGAAGCATGAAAAAATCAAGTTCAGTTCTGCATAACTGTAATAACGCGTGTATTCCAATCTAAAAAAGATATTGCAGATCTAAGAAGCAGATTACATTAAGGAGACTTACATTGTACTTTAGAATATAGAAAGATGTATCACTGGCAATTGCCACCAAGTCACCACTATCAGCCCAGTAGAGATTCTGACATTTTTAGTAACATAAACAAAAATTACCTTTAGCATGTAAGGTAGCCAAGAAGAAGCAAATGGGAATTATAGAGCTATATTAGCTTACTTTCACAGTAACATCAATTCGACGAATCAACCTGCATTCAGCCCAATCGTAAAAACAAATAAAATCATTGGAGCACATTGCGAGTAAAGTGCCCCCAAAAATACGCTCAGCAGAGAATGTTGGCCGGACACTCCTCTTTTCCTGAAAATGTTAAATCTCGGTCAATACCACTACATTGTAAGACCGAAACTTGAACATAGCATTAAATAAAATTCCTTAACAATCATGATGGATACTACCATAATACACATAATAATTTACTAATAATAGTTATATACACTTAAAGAATAGCCTGTCAATTTGTTTAAAATAAAAATTTTCTTAAAAATTGAAATCCCTTCACTGCCCAAATTCTTGTTCATCCTATTAAATCCAACTCTCCAGCTGCAATACATCTGTTGCTTATGACAAATCTTTCAACAAATGAAAACAGAGTGTGCATGCACACAAACTTTTCTATATAAAGAAATATATCTTTTAAGGGAAGAAACCATCTAAATGACAAAATAACACAAACCTGGAAATTTTTGCTGAAAATCTTAATCCTTGATGAGCTTTCCCTAACAGCATACTCTCCATCAGATGACCAAACAAATTCCAATGCTGAACCAAATGACCTATTTCTCCATGCCAAAGCTGTAAATATGATGTACTCACCATCTCCACAGACAACAACAAACCTCCCATTTGGGTTATGTTTTAAGCTCTGAGAAGAACAAGATAGAGTAAAGGGTGAAGGGTTGAAAACAAATCCAAACATAAATACAACTTACAAAAAAATTAATCAACATATTTTAGGAGTGACCCTTAATCTTATGGCCAAATTCATTTAAATGAGCCCAGAAAGCATCAACTCACTTGAGGGTATAGATCACATGTCCCCAATTCCTTAACAGCCAAGGGTAATCTTTCCCCATCAGTAACCTAAGAACCAAATCAAAACAGCTTGCAGCATCACCATAAAGTGAAAGATCCAATATTAAAAGTCACACCATGAATGCAAAAAGACTAAATATTTTTTACAGCAGATAAACTACCTCAAAATCTGCTCCTACACTCTTAATATTCACGGTTTGAATTTCATTGTGTTTAGCCCATATGATTTTTCCACTGTTGTCCATACTTGCTACAGGTACTTCACGACCAATTTTCACCATAATAGTTCCTTCATCATACCCAATCACAATCCTGTAAAATGGAACAGTCTAGTAGTTCTAGCCGTAGCTGATTAAGAAGAAAAAAGTGTCAATGTAAACTAATAAAGAACTCAATTCAGAAGTCTGATATCATCAATTTGCATGCAAAAAGAAACATACAACTAAAAAGTCAGGTTAGGTAAACTAAAAGAATGAGTTTTATTTGACCTCTCACATTCTTTGGGCAGACAGACATACTCTAAACTAAATGAAAGACATTGTTTAAGCATTTAATGATCAAATAAATGACTCTAGTATTTAAGCATAAATAAACAACCTAGGAAAAGGTTAAAATAAAAAATAATAATAATAATAAACGTAAAACTGTTGCATGATTTAGCCAAAGAAATTACCTCCGTGAACCTTTCATATATCCAATTGCCCAAACTCTCTCAAGACCATAATTCAATGTATTTTCAAGCCTGAAAACAAATGAATTAGTTAAAAAGTCAAAAGATTGAAGAATTTCAAAGATATCATTACATACATCAAAGACTATTAAGATCACAATATCTTAAGAAAACACTAAAGCATTACACAAGGAAGAAATATTAAAATGGTGAAGCACCAATGTGGCTCTAGACCATGAATTTCTACATTATCTCAAAGATGCTCATGCCAACATGTCTTTACAATCAAAGAGCATTTTCACACTTTTACCAACACAAGACCAAGACAGGAAGTTGATGTATGATATGGAAACTTGAATTGTTATGCAGGAAAAGATAATATCAGCCTTACCACAAAACAAATGGCCACAGGACATTGACAGGGGTAAGCATGCCAAACCAGAAATATTTTATACTGCAAGAATTACCTATAAGTGGTAGCATGCCAGATACGAACTGTCCCATCTTCAGAACCAGTAATAATAATTGGAAGTTCAGGATGGAAACAAACTGCAGAAACGTTGTGCGTGTGGCCTTCCAAAGTCTGAACACAACTCTTGGTTTGGTAGTCCCATACCTATATCCATGGAATTAATCTATGAATAGTTCCTCAATATTTATCTATGATCAAAAGATAGCAGAATACAAACATTAAAACTAGTTGCATACCTTAGCAGTGTGATCATCAGAACCAGTGATTAGATAGGGCTTATCACCACCTGTAAAGTAATCGACGCAATTTACACCTTTATGATGGGCATCCAAAGTAAAATTTGGGTCGGGGGAGCCAAGGTTCCAAATCTGGAAATTTCAAACAGAGCCGAGGCAACTTTAGCATGGACATACCAAATGAAGCAAGAAATATAATGAAAAAGTTACAAACAGAAAGCTCCTTTATACCTTTATGGTACGGTCAAGAGATGCACTGGCAAAAGTGTTAGTGTCTTTCGGATTAAAGGTCACTTGCATGACATAATGGGAATGTCCCTCAAATATCTGAGTACACACCCAACCCTTCTCCCAGTCCCAAAGTTTTATGAGCATATCATCAGATGATGACAACACATATGGAAGAGTAGGATGGACAGCCACACATCTAATGTAATCAGTATGCGCCTCGAATACTTTGACCTTATCCATGGTGTTGTAATTGTATACACGAATAAACATGTCATCAGATCCAGCAACAACCCATTGTTTGCGTGCAACAAACTTAGCCGACCTAACTGCAGATGCATTGTTCGCTTCAGAGAATAGTAATGACTTCATGACGATGAAAACAGAAAAGGAAGAACATTATCATCAGACCAAGATAAGTGCATTGTAAGAACATATGAATGCATACCTGGCAACTCAGTGACCTCGAATGACTTAGCCATGGTCTGTGCACCAAAGACAGTCAAAGTTAACACTGAACAATAATTGAAAAACTCAAACAATTCAAATTCAGCATATCATGACTACAAAAGTTCAAAATGAGCCTAATACTACTAAAATGTTATTTTAAGAACTCAAAATCTTATACCAATTAAATTCCATGAAATTACTAATAATTTCTATAGCCTTATATTATGAAAGAATTATGTCAAAGTGCAAATAAAAATGTATTATTCATAAAAGAAACAAAAAGAATAAGTTACAAAAAAAGCTTCACAAATAAAGGACAAACCTTATATACAGAGTTAAAACCATATATGTCCCTGTGTTCTCAGATTTAAGCAGAGATTCATGCTAGTATCTGTGCCTATAATATAGCACTCATATACAAGGCTAAGGATGATAGTTTAATCATAAACAAGAACTAGATGAGAGGTCTAAAGATTTTGGGTTAAGGATCAGTATAGCGAATGCAAATCAATTAAATTTAGAAATGAAATAGTGAAAATGGAATCAAAATTAATGGTTAAGAAGCTTGTAAATGTGAATGGACTCATGAGATTAAAGTTAAATGAATGGAGAGGTGCCAGAAAATGCTCTATGAGTGTAAGATACTACCAGTACAAAGTCAAAAAGTCATAAGAACAGGATACAGTTTATGATGCTTAGTGACGAACAGCAGATGGTAATATATCCACAAGATGAATCAGACTAAAATGAAGAGAACAGATAATCATAAAGAAAATGAATCAAATGATGGAATAAGAAATGGAATTACTCCTAATAAAAAAAAAAAAAGAGTCAATTCAAGTAGCATACTTTGTTTTATGTCAGATAAGTATCGCAGGTCTACAGTTGCTCTAATATAAAAGAAATTTTCAATACAAGAGAGTTACAAGAAGTTTTTATGTCACATTTTTAAGTGTGATAACTAAGACTTTTTTCTGTTTTTGGAAAAGACAACTAAGAATTTTTTTTGGATAAGTGAAGACAACTAAGAACTAAGTACCTCTAGATCTTTAAAAAAGAATAAAGCCTTGGATCAAGCAGAATGAACAAAAACTAGTCCGGATTAAGGCTTACTTAAACTAATTGAATTCAATGAGAAAATTCTTAGGAGAAAATTATTATCTTATATGCCAACAATAGTTTCTCACATAGCATCCCACAAGACCGAAGGAAGTGCAATGACACATGGTGGAAACAATGCTTCGAAGAGTAACATAAAATCAAGCTCTATAATGACTTTTCAAAATTGATTCTTTTTGCAGAACCTAAAAAATATAATATGAAAAAAATGCTAAAAAGAAGTAAACAGGATGGTTATTTAACTAAATTTTAGACACTAATTGTAACCATTAAATATATCAACTTATTCACCCATTTTTCCAGATTCTGGCATTTCACTAACTTGTCACACGGCAAAATTTCACAGTCATTACAACAATCAATAAAACCCCCATACCTGTGACTGGTAGTTCCAGATACACACAGTTCCAGAATACAAACTTGCTAGAATCCTGCAATAGCAATTACAACAGATCAAATTTAGTCTTCAAGCTTGAGAAGATAGAATTCAAACAAATGGGAAACTGAATAAAGGATAGAAATTACCATGGTTCTGTTGGATGGAGATCTACTGATTTTACTCTCTCTGATCTTTGAGCAAGTTTCCTCTGATCCAAACATCACAATTAAGAACATTAGTCACACAATTTACCAAACATTCATACAAAAATAATAACAAGACCTAATCCGCACATAAAACTGAACTCAAATGAAAAGAATAACAAATACCTTAATTTCGAGTCTGAGTGGCTGTTAAACACGAAAACCAAAATAACACAATTAGTCGAAACCAAGCAACAGATCTTAAATCAAACTCAGCCAACAAGAGAGAAATAAATAACAATTAAAAATCGCCGCATTCACATTCAAAGTATCGAAGAAAAAAAAAGTTCACGCGGCAGATCTCAACTATATTCAAATCCCTAACTCTCCATCTCTGCAGCATAGAACTGAAATGATAACATAAAAACAACTAGAATCGAACATAATTAAAAAATTTTCCGATTTCCGATTCCATATATTAAACAGAAATATGAGAATTGAGCGTATATCAAAGGGGACTTGGACCAGATCTAATGCAGAATCAAACAGATCAAGAAATTAGACTCACCATTTTTTACAGATGAAAATTAAAGAAGAACAAGCTCTGGATCGAGGTCGCGCTTTTGAGAGAGAGGGGTTTTTGATTGGTGCAATAATGTAATAAAGAGAGAGAGAGCTCTTCTCTGTGTGCGTGTGTTAATGTAAAAATAATAACAATAATAATAATAATGAGAAAAGACAGACAGAGAGAGGAGATGCTTCGGAGTTAAGGAATAGATTTACGGAAGTGCCACTCACTGCCTTGGTTGAGTTGTCGTATGTTATGTTAGAGTAAAACGTTGATCGACGGGGGGCGAGTGTTCTCATGAAGTGAAATGGATGGCGGCGATTTTTAGTAAACCAAACTATTCGTATATTTATTTCATATAATAAATTATAATTTATATATTTATATAATATTTTATATAAAAATCATATATATATTATATTACAATATATATAATTATTAGATAAAATTTATTGACAAAAACACTTACATAAATATCTATTTTTTTTAGACACATAAAAAAAATTTTAATTTTTTTAAATGAAAAATAAGATATTTATTAATTTTAAATTATTTATTAAAAATATATTTCAAAAATTATTAAATTATCTAACAATTTTAAATTTTAAATAAAAAAACCAATTTAAATTTAAATAAAATTATTTTATCCCATGTATCACCTCATCCCTCATCTCTCATCACATTTAACAAACCAATCGGATGGACCTTTCATTTAGAAATAAATATTTTCATTTTAAATAGTCTTCTACTTTCTATCATGCTTCTGAGTAATTTTAAAATATTTTCAATTTCTCAAGCTAAATTTTCTTGCTTTTGGTGATTTCCAACATAACTATACATCATGTTCGACTGTTTTGAAGAACAAGGGATATGATATTGCAGTAAATTAATTAATTATTGCTACCATATATATCTGTTTGAATATTGCTTTTCTTAATTTTCCATGCTACTACTATATTTATGTTTTTATATGATATTCATAAATAAAGCATGCATATCTTTTGTGTTTTTTTACATATTAATCAAAAATCTAAAACGAATCGAATGACATAAATTAATGAACGATGAATGACAATTATAAAAATATAGTAATTGTTAGATTAACTTATATCATATTTTAATTACTAAAAATTAATTTTATCCATTCATCCGAATAAACTCTTAATTTTTTTTAAATTTTCTATCAAATAATTCATCAAAGCTAGCTATTAGTTTGTTCTTATCACATCTATATATTTGATCATATATATTTAATTCAGGTTTTGGAATGGAGATGCTGGAAAAATTAACATAAACGGGATTTATTATAAAGTAGCTCAACGCCATTGGCATTCCATTTGAGCACACATTCAGCGGAAATCATATATACATATATGTATATATTATATTATAACATATATAATTATCATATAAGATTTATTGATATAGACATTTATGTGGGCAAATTCTTTTTTTTAACACGTAAAAAAATTTTAAAAATTTATCTTTGTAATGATACGTAAGATTTAAAAATATTTATCAAAAATATATATTTAAAAAATTATTTAACCATCCAAAACTTTCAAAATTCATTCTTATCTTAATATAAATCCAAAATTCAAGTATAGCTTTTAAAATTCAATAGTTTTCCATTCAAATATATTGTGGTTTATTGACTTCTTTGACTTTTCTTCTATAGCCTTTTAATTATTTGACTTATTTTGGTAACAACTAATTATCTGTTTGAATTTCTTTTGTTTCGATAATTGGCAATTTTTTTGCTGCCATCTATCTTATGATTTTAAATAAAATATATCTTATCTAAATTTAAATTTATATGTAAATCTTAATTTAAAATTACATAATTTATCTTAGAGATCATGGCATTATCATTAGATTTTCTTATTAACTCTTAAATTAAAACTTTAGTATTAAATTAATTGCTGCTCCTAACATTTCTAATGCTTACATAATAAATGGACAGCCTGGTGATCTCTACCCCATGCTTTCAAAACAGTAAGTGATTACCAATACATATCTCCATGCACGTAATTGATGTTTAATTTAATTATGTGGTTTCCCATTATGTACAAGCTTAAGGTGGAGCAAGGGAAGACCTATCTCTTACGTATTATCGAAGCGGTACTCAACAACTAACTTTTCTACAAGATAGCCAATCATAAGATGATAGTTGTGGCCGTTGACACCATCTAAACCAAGTCTTATGTCATCGACATCGTGGTTATTGGCCCTGGCTAGACAGTCGACGTTCTGGTAACCATCGATCAGCCAGTTGGGTCTAGTACATGGTTGCAAGACCATATACAAGCGCAATTGGTGTGCAGTATGAATTCCACAACATGCACATTATTTTTATTCATTTTTTTCCTTTTACAGCACACATTTTCGAACAATTTTCATTTTTTTTTCAAAGTTTTCATCAAGATTTAAGTTTAGTCAAAGTATGCCAATACCTTTTTATGATTTACTTTTATCTTTCAACTTTATTGTTTCAATATTTTGTAGTATTTTGATCAGTATCACAATTTAATAAAGGTATGTCAATCCCACTTTTAATAATTCCACAACATGCATATTATTTTTTATTCAATTCTCTCTTAAGATATTTCAATGCCTTTTACTTAAGGTATTTCAATACCATTTTATATGATTTAATCTTCTCTTCCATTCATTCAATTCTTTGTTCTTTTTTTTTTTTTTTTTTTACCATTTCTTAAGATATATTAAAATTTAATAAAAAGTAGTCATCGCATTTTTTATAATTTAATTTACATTTTTTTATATTTTTAGATGGAGAAAAATATGCAATCTTTGTATGGACTCTATAAATATATATAAATTCACGGTCTTTGGTGATGCATTGTATGAAAGTCTCATTTTTTTTTATGTTTTCTATTTGATCTTATAGCATCATTTTTCTTGAAAACTATATGTGAATTATCAACAGCTGAAACTTAGTTTCTTTTTACGATCTTCAGAGAAATTGAAAAAAAAAATGCAAAAAGAAAATGAAGAAATGTTAGCAACATAATCACCCTGAGAGCAACCACTCTACGAATAACAAAAGAGTCTCTAAAATAATGAACAACAAGCTGCATTAAGAATAAAGGATGTACATAATCGAAATTTTTTTTTTTCCTTATTTGATGTTGTTGTTGCAATGGTAATATTAGTAATTATTTTGTGTCTTTTTCTTCATAATTTAAAATATATATTTTCTCAATTTAAAATCACACACATTTATTGAATTAAATTTAAACAAATCTATTTTATCTATCACTTATGGTTTATTAACAATCTCTCATTTCTAATTTAAAATTGTAAACAATTATCTTTTTCACATTAAAGAAGTTTTAGCATTTTTGAGGTAGCTTTTAGATTTAATTTGTGATAAATCAACATTTTAAAGATAGGTATATCAATTTACAATTGTTAAAATTTCTAATTTAGTATATCCTACAGCTATGTTGTAATTGATGGCAGCTCTTTATTGTTTTCTTTAATCAGGTTGAATATCATATTTAGATTTTTTTGGTTGGGTCGATTCTAAACTTGTACTGACTATTCCTGTTAAAGTGCTATTAAATTAACAAATCATGAATCCTACTATTTTTTATTCTTTAGTAAATGAAAATTTTAATTTTTTTTAATTTTTATTTAACATGTTTATGTTATTTTTATATTAAATGAAAATTAGTTAATAAAAATATTAAAAAGAATATAATAATTATTATTATTATTAAATTCTTTTAATTTTCTAATTCAAAACTGGTAATAATTGAACTTCTATAAATCAAAACGAATGATCATGTTGTAATTTAACTATTTTAAGTATTTTATATATACTTTAAAAATGTAAATTAAATAAAATAAATTTATGTATCTATAAATATTTAAATAAATAAAATTAATTCGTGCATTACACGAGTCACAAAGTAGTTATATATTATAATTTATGTTGATATAAAAATATAAAATATAATTTTTTTATTTTATTAAATTTATATATAATTATTATAATTTTAAATTATATTATTTTATATTTTATTTTTATATTATATTTTATCGAATTATCATATATGAATTAAAAAAGTTGTTTTTGATGCGTGAACAACATAGTCCGAGGACTAAGGGTGACAATTGGCCTGTGAAGCTGGAAACGGACAAAATCTAATAGTTCGTTAACAAGTTTAATTTTTAATCATTTATATTTTTTATTAAATTTGATAAATGACAGTAAATAATATTTTATAATTTATTAATTAAATAAATAAACTACAAATATAATAAAATTAGTTCATATTTAATTAATTTGTATAAAAAAGACATGATAAATAATTCATAAATAAATTTATTTTTTTTATTTATTAAATTTAACAAATAATCATGAATAATTTTTTAAAATTTATTAATAAAATAAACATAACAAAATTTATTAATATTCATTTTACTTTAATTCTTATTGACCTGTTACATGTTGGGGCATTAGTGGTGTGGATTGAATTTATTTTTTTATTTAAAAAGATTTTTATATGAACATTTTTTATGTTTGATAGAAAAGCATGATTGAGACGAAGATAGTTTTAGATTAATTTGATTGATGGAAATTGATTGAATTTGATCAAGTCTAATTAATTAGTTTAGTTTTGATAATAATCAATTAAATAAAATGATTTAATCGATTAATTTGATGGATTTTGAATTTTTAAAATTAATACTTGAATTAATCAAATTAAATCTACTTTTTAAAAAGATTTTAAATATATATTATATATTTAAAAAAATTTTATTTATACTTTTAAAAATGAAAAATACGATATAGATAATGTAAAATATTATTTTTAAATATAAATCATTTACTGATTTTTTTTAATTTACAGACTCCCGGGTAGTGTTGGTTAATTGTTTACTATAATCAAAATAGAAAAGTGTTCTCTAAAGCCTAAGCTATAATTGTCTTTAAGATTTTGTTCTCATTAATTTTTATCTTAGAAATTTTACTCACGGTTCTAGGTATCCACATTTTTTTTAGAAAACAATTGAAACCAAAAATTCTCTTTGTCCCAATTAAATTGTTATATTGTGATTTTTTTAATCAAATTTTTTAAACGTTGATTTTTTATTATTTTATATTTATTATTG